AGATTCCCGAAATTAAACAGACATTAGAAATTTTAAAACACATGCAGAAGAAAAAGGTAAACTATTTTGAATATCTAACGAGTATGAGAAAAGCTAACTGCCTTTCCACCCTAACAGAACACATTGCAAGAAATGTTTTGGAGAGCACACTTAATATGCCTTTATAAATAACAGAATTGTTTTAAAGGTATGTAGCACTTTCTGAAAGCTTGTTCAAAACCAGTAACGTTTGTAATGCAAGCTTCCCTTCGGTAGCGTGTAGATTGCAGCTAAGCTTGGATTTTAGTCCTTATAGAGATTTCCACATTGCTTTTAAATACTTTAAAGAATGCCTTTGTCTTGGCACTTCAGTGTTGAAGTAAACATACATGCAGTTTCACCCAAGCTAATACTGTATCAATGGCAATAAAGCAGAAAAGTGCACTCCTTACTGTAAACTTTGTCTCTTCTGTGAGTTTCCAGTGAAATGCCAATGTTAAGCTTTATCATTTCTCTTAAGGAATCCACAAATCCAATGGAAACCCGATTTTTATTGGCAGATAATCTCTACTGCAAAGCATCAGTTCCTCCTACAGACAAAGTTTGTTTGTGGCTGGGGGTGAGTAACATGGAACCTTTTCTGAGATGGTCTGTGTGACTGTATCTTCCAGCAGATGGTGTTCACTGCTGGCTCAGCTGTCCTGGTTAGGACAAGTGTAATGCTCCATGTGTGCAGGGAGAGCCGTGTCATTTCAGTGCAGCAAACATAGCAATATTCCAACATGCTCGTGGAGTTTTCATGGTTTTGTTTTTAATTTTCCTTAGTGCCTGAACATAGTAAAATGGCAGAGAACTGTAATCTTGCTGAACTGTTTTATCAAAAAAGTGTATTTGTGAATGTTTCCCTGTCACATTGTGCTTCACATTACCAGGCAACCTTGCTTGGCATTGGAATGAATATGCCCAACAAAACAACTTAGCTTGAGAACTAACTTCCAGTCTTCTCCTTGTTATTTGTATTTAGCTTGCTTCCATGCAAGCTTTCTCGGGAAGGGTGGGATTTGGGTTCCTCAGAGGTACCTGCCAGCTTTTAGAGTGGAATTTGTGCTAGATTGGTGGGATCAGAGCTTGAGTCACATTTCTAAGTACCAAAGCAATATAAAGCTGGGATATTCAGGAGCAGAGGCCCCGTTATCTGTAGAGATAACCTGCTAATGTTTATTTTGAGACTTGTAAATCCCTGGTGTTCTCACACGCTGGCTGCCAAACACAACAGCCCGCTTAGAGCAGCAGCGCTGTTGGTATGCGTTGCATCCTGGCTGGTCTGGCAGTTCCTCACAGCTTCACCAAAGTCTTTTCTGTTGTAAAAACAGAAGATTTCTGTCTGCTTCATTTTGCTTTCAGGTTACTTCCTTCAGGATTCACAACCATTGACTTCCAGGTCAACCAGGTCTACCAGGTTTCTTCTATCACAGATTGTCAAAGGAAGTTCATCTTGGTTCATACAGAAAAGCTATCGTGAAGCACTACAAACGATTTGTTAGTTGTACTTAGGGTTTCTTGGGCCTTTAGCTCTTCATCCATCATGCTGCTTACAGTCTCTGTGCTGAGCTGTGCATATCAGTACTGTTGCAGAAACCATCTTGCAGTTATTTAAAAACAACAAAAAGAGAGGAAAGCACTGCATATATAGTTCTTGCATAGTGTTCCCTGCAGTCCTGTCTGATTAAGATTTATGTGGCTCTGCTCAGTACACAATTCTTGGATGGAACAAAGCTACATGGGTGCATCTTCATTTGGTTCTATTCTTTTTTACATGGTGGCTTCCTTGCTGAAATGTACTGATTAAAAACCACCCTGATGCCAGATTGGACTTTCATACACGTTGTATCTTGTAATACTTTTTGTTAGTAAGCAGTGCCACCAGCTGTTTGTATTCTGCACAGATCCTGAGGTGAATCTTGAATGCAGCAAGAATTGTTTGTAGAGCTGTGTGACACTGGAGATGCTGTGAAGGAATGAGGAGTGTCTTGCTTTTCAGATGTGGTGGAAATGAGATACTGGCGCATAAAAGATTGAATGCAATACACAGAAGTCCCCTATTGCTCAGGAAGAGGAGGAAAACTTCTTTCCAAGTCACTGGGGGGGATTTATTACTCTGTTACTGAAGTGGTGGAGCCTCAAGTGGCTTCTGACATTGCTTGCCCCAAACCTTGCCTAGGCTCATCAGTGTTAATGTGATGAGCCATAAACAGTCTTATTCCTTACAGTGCAAGTGTAAAAGCTTGTATGAATCTTTTTGTTGTGCAGGCCAACGTGATGCTTGAATATGATATTGATGAAGCTCAGGCTCTGCTAGAGAAGAACCTGTCAACAGCCACGAGAAACCTTGATTCTCTAGAGGAAGACCTGGATTTTCTTAGGGATCAGTTCACCACTACAGAAGTCAGTATCCTTTTAATATGCAGGAGTGATGTGGAAGGTGATGTACAGGTACCTGCTCGTGTTTCAAAGTGAAACAACTCTTCCTTCTTTCTTAGTTACTGATACGCCTGTAAGTTAAGGCTTTGCAGCACATCAACTCTTTCATTAAAAGGTTTCTGTAGTCTGCTGCAAGTTAAATGAAGTATGTATGATCAACGGGATATCCAGCTTTTCCCCTTTTCTCTTTCCACTGAACACTTCTGTTTCCTTAATTTCACACCCTCAGATATGGCTAGAGTTTATAATTGGGACGTAAAGAGAAGAAACAAGGAAGACCCTTCGAAAAACAAAGCATAGTTTTGCCAGTTTTAAATGTGGTTTCAATTTCAAAATATTTTTTATTTAAATACCCCTGAAATTCATTCTTAAGGGACTGAGTTACTTTAAGCAGTGCAGTAAATGGTAAAATATATAAAAACTAATGGTGAGCGGCATTTTATTTATTTGTGAACTCAAAATTTGGTTTCATGCATGCTTCATGAAAGTATAGATTGTTTGAGAAGATACCACGCAGTCCAGCAAAGGACGTAATATTTGGATCAGACCAGTCTGCTATAAGTAAATTTCTGTCTGAATGTTTGTCTGAAAAGTGAGGGTGCATGTATGAAACTGACAGCATGATGGCAGGTTGAGGCCATGCAGGGTTTACTTTTCATTTCTGTGTGCAGCTGATGAAGGTAAAGTCAGCGTGGGCTGGGAAGACACACAGCTGTCATGTCCTAGGAAAAAGGACAAACAGCGAAGCCCTGGATTTTGTCTCAGTCAGTTACTTCTTTGGCAGCACCAATATACAAGCATTCCACTTTGGATAAACTTGATTTTAATGATTCTGTTAGTTGACTGCCTGTTGCCGAACTCTCAGCACTTTACATGCAACACTTTGTGACTTGTCTTCAGAAAAGAATGCTAAATGGAGTAAACAGCACAAGTTGTGTCAAGCCTGCAGGTGCTCTCACCCTGTTCTTCTTCCACACACGTGCACACATGGCTTACTTTTGCAAACGTATTGAACAAGGACACCAAAATGCTGGCAGCCTGTAAATGAAAAAAAACCCTACTTGCAATCCCTTAGACAAGATGTCGTTCAAATGTCTTCACACTCAGCCTCCCAGCTGGTGAAACCTGTATTAGATGAGGATGGTTGACTGCAGTCTGGCTTCTGGTGTTAACAGCTGGAATATTTCTTTGGTTCTTACGAAGCCTTGCGAGATTGTTGCCTTTTACCTCTGCAGTTTCTGTCTAAAATGAAATGCTCAGTGCTGATGTCAGTGGCTAATATGCACATTTAAGAGTACAGGTTTTGCTGCAAAATAAACGCAAATGTTCACTGTTGGAACTTCATGTAAGAAACAACATACCTGTAAAGTTTTTGTACTTTTATTTCATTATATTAAAATAGTAAAACTAAACAGTTGTGGCAAACACCACTTTTTGTGCATCTTTCTTTGTAGGAGTCATGAATTTGAGGTATGATGTTCTATGTTTCCATCTTGTCACTGGGGGCAGGGGAGCGAGAAGTTGAAGCTGTGGAAAGCTGGATACTGGTGTGAGTGAAATGAGGCTGTGAGTCACCACACCTGAGTTTGGGAACAGAAGCAATTGATTTGACAACACTGTGGCTGAAAATCAGCAAGAGCTGTAGGGATGGGAATAAAAGAGGTAAGTCCTTAGCTGTGCTCACAATACAGACCTGGGCTGGGCTCATTCACACCTTTATTTGCAGGGAGGTGCTGATTTTTTTCTAGTGTCTTTGGCTAGGAGAGAATTTTAAACCAATGCATTATCTGACTAGCATGTATCTCTACCCCTTGCTATGCTTGGTTGAAGCTGTGCTTCTCTCCCTTTTTGAGAGCATCAGGAATGACAAGAAAGGCAGCTGCGAATGTCCTGATTTCTCTTGCAATTTTATCTTCTGTATGGATTAATGAGATCCCAGCAGGCTAAAGCACTTCCCTCACACCACTGCTTTTCTAGCTGGTCCTAAGGCAGCAATTGCTTCTCTTTGTTGTGCACAATGAAATGATGAGTTAAGCATTTATGCACTATCAAAAAACCCTACTGGGCGCAGCTTCCAATGACCTAATGCTGGGCGTTAGTGTGAGGGGGGAGGCAGCATTAGGACTGCAAGCACTCAGCAGGATCAAAATGTATCAGGTTGGTAGGGCGAGAGCTGGCCTTGGAATAACACACAACCCTTGGTTTTCAATAGAGGGTTTTGTTGTTTGCTTAGCACAAAGCTAAAAACTTCATAGACAACTCTGGCTTCCGTATGACTGATCTTCATCCAGTATTGCCCTGTTGTTTACTGACACATTTTTGTTGCTTGGATTAAGAACAGAAAGGTCTTACACAGGAGCTAGAGCAGTTTCTGCAGTGTGCCAAATGCCACCTGCCAGGCTCCAGGAGTGGCTATGGCTCCTCTGGCTGACTGCAAGGAGCAGGCTGATATTTCTGCAGCTGCACTGCTTTTCTCAGCACCCAGCCTGCTGGTTTTGCAGATGTGACCCGATGGCTGTTACAGAAAGATGTACAGCAGGTGCCATTGCAAAGATCCTGTTTATTGTTGAGCTGGTCCGTACCACATTTCCAGTTAGGGCTGCTGTACAGAAGCGGTACAGGTATGAGATAGCTTACTGATAAGGAACAGGGAGGGGAGAAGGAAAAAAACCAACAGTCTCTTTACAAGTTTTAAATTTCACAGTATCACATGGTAACCATTTTGCTAAGTACAAGCATATTTCCAGTCACATACAGACAGCTAAATACAGCATTATTTTCACATTTCATTACAGTGCATAACAGAAAGCGAGGAAAGTGTATAGTATGTTTTTTATTCTGGAGGTTCAGAGCAATTTGAATCTAACATGCAGATTGTTTTAAGTTAGCTTTTCTTGTTTCTCTTTTTGACCTAGAGTAAAAGAGCTCCTGACCTTTATCCTGTGGAAGGTTATGACCTTTGATTTCTCTAAATCCCTCTTGCACCAGAAGTCAAAGCGTTAAAACCAGTTGTTAGAAAAGAATGCTTAGCATATCCTATAAGTTCTTCATCTTAGAAAAAACATTCCAAATTTTGTACAGAGGAATCTACATTTCCTATATTTTAATAAGCTGCCTAAAAAATGCAAGGAGTTAGAAAAAGATGTATATAACTATTTATCTATCATTTAATATAACCATTTATTACCTCTAAGTAGTTAAGACTGCATACATTTTCTTCTGTACTGTTTCTCCTCAGAATTATGACACGTATTTGTAAATCAGGTACTTACTCTGAAGGCCTGAATATACGTGCTTATTTACGTTTCCTGCAATTTCCCTCTGGGAGCAGAAAGACAGAGAGAGAGAGAAGCGAATGTCCAAAGCCATCAAATAAACCAGCAGCTGTCTTGTGAAAACTGAGCTTTTCCTGCACAGAGGCTCAGGGGTTTTACTCTTGCTAGAACTCTGATCTTTTCTAAAGTTTCACCTGCCTTTAATGGAGCACTCAAGCTCTGCCCTTAGGACAGCTGCTAGCCAGCAAGGCGACCTGAGCCACACCCTGTGAATAGCCAGACCTTGAAAGAAAGAAAGAATAAGAAAGCTGACCCTTTCATACCTGTTTGCCCTCGTCTTTGTGAGAACAGGACTAGCAGTCCCGGTCTGAGCAAACCTTGTGCTCCCCACTGGCGTCAGCAGAAGCTGAAGGTAGAGAGCCCATGGTAGCCCAGCTCCTGTGGTGCTCTGCATCAATCTTCTCCAGCTTCACTTTACCTAGAAAGAGATTTTTTAAGAGATTTCTTTTTTGAACCTTCAGGTTACTCAGCTTGACCAGCACCGAGTCTGCCTGGAGCTCAGTGGGCCTTAGCACAGGGTTCTCAGTGTAGGTACAGCCTGTCCAAGAGGGGCCGGGTTGTGCAGCAGCAGGCAGCTTACAACAGGTGCTAGGCCAGTGCCATCCCTCCTTCACTCTAATTTGCTACCAGTGCCCTCCCCTGCAGTGCTCAGGAACTGAAATTGTTCCAAGAGTACTCAAATGAAAATGTAATCCAACTTCAGGGTGAGTTCTTTTTTTATACACAGCAATCTTTTATTCGTACAGACCAGCACAAGTACTGCAAACTATGCGAAGAGGCTTGGGGGAGTCAGTCTGAATTCAACAGCACTCAAGACTCACTCTGTCCAAGATGGAGGTAGCTTAAAAAAAGCTCTAACAAGTACCTTCTTTCTACGTCGAGGCCTAAAAATCAAACACCAGGTGCTTCCTGTAGTTCTACCTACTCCCTCCTGCCCATTAGTTTGGTGTGTAAAGCTTGCAAACTCAAGTAAAAAGGTCACTGTTGTTTCTGTTTGTTTTAAATAGGTTGAACTTTGCTACAGGTTACCCTGCTGCAATTGTAAAGCTGGTTGAAACTTAGAGGAAACAAAGCATGCCCAGAAAATGGCCACCCACATACAGCCTTTTTAACAACTGCTTCCACCCGCAATGACCAACCTGATATGGATCATCTCCAGTCAAATTAAAACAAGGAGGAAAACAAATTTTACTCTTGAGCTTGTCTTGGGGCTTTCCTTTTCCTCCTGCTCACACACTTCTGTTCTGTGCTCCTCCTCCTCAGTTCTAGTTCTCTTCTTCCACAGATGCCAAGAAAGAAAATGACACTTTAACAGCAGATAGTGATGGAAGCCATTGCTTTCCATGCTATTCAACTTCTTTAAAAGCAAATCTCACCTCGTGGATGCACCTTAGTTAAGCTTTTCAAGTTTCCCCTGCCCTGCCCAACTTCGTTCCATTCTTCCTTGTGGCCCCAGCTGACAAGGCACCCAAAACATCAGCACAGTGCTGTTAGCAAATAAATGTTGGTGTGTCCCACCTGGGTGCCATACTCCAGCCTCAAGATACAGCAGATGAGCACAAGTTTTTCTCCTTATGTTCCTGATCACTTAGTTATTCTGGAAAGCCCTGAACTGAGGGTACACTGAGGTACACATTGAGGCAGTAAATAGTTTAAAAATGTACTGAATAATTACTAATGCAGCAGGCATTGCTACTTAGAATCCCAGTTTACAGCATGAAAAACACTAGGGGAAATCATTTGAATTGTAATTACCAATCAAATAACTACTGTTCTCCTCTTTAAATGCCACAGAGTACTCTACTATTGAACTAGGTTCAAGAATGTAAGAAAAAAATTCAGAAGTATGCATACCACATCAGTAAACTTTCCCTATGCCACTGGCCTTAGGAAGGAATGGTACCCTTGCTGCCTTCACACCTTCCTGCTAATAAGCAGCTGATGCAAACTAAGATGTCATCTTTCTCTCTGCTGCTTCTCATACTACAGCACTATCCATGCCATGGCTCCAGCATGGCGCTACAGATTTGCTTAAAACAGGACACGTACAGCACTGTGGCACATGCTGGCCCATTCAGATCTAACTGTGTGCTCTGCCCCCTTCTGCTGTCCCTCACTTCTGCTTGCTGTCTCATTACAAAATCTACATGCACCCTCACTCACTCTGTTAGGTTTGTAGCCTCCAGTTCTGAAAAGTTGTATGGAACAGAACATTCATTCCCTGGGTCTGTTCTCGTATCCAAAAGACTGTGGGAGGCTGTTCACAACGGGAGCGTTGCTCTCCCTTCTGGCACACTGAGTTCACTTAGTAAAGTACGTTTGGTTAGTAGAGTTCATCACCACTTCTCTCACTAGAAGAGCTCAGCACAAGCACCGCCTATCTGATTTCACCACTTCTTCTGAAGAGTGCACTACGTTTGGGACAAACCCACTCTTTACCCCTTCCCATCCCTCCTGGATCGAAATTTCCCCCCTTTTAACAAGCTCGTATATATCTCGAGTCAGATCAGTGAAGGCCTTCTCCACGTTAATGGCATCCCGAGCAGAGGTCTCAATGTACTTCATACCATATGCAGCAGCCAGTTTCTCGGCCTCGTGCCTGGTGACTTGCCGCTGTGTGTCAAGGTCACACTTGTGACCCACCAAAACAAAGACGATCTGGTAGGGCTGGACGTGCACCTTGGTCTCTTCTAGCCACTCGTGGACGTTCTGGAAGGACCTGCGGTTTGTAATGTCAAAGAGGAGGAGTCCACCAACCGAGTTCCTGTAGTAGGCTCTGGTGATGGACCTGGAAAAAAATGATCCAGACATGTAAGTCACTGCTATTTGGGAAGAAGGGCAGAGCAGGCTTCACTTCTTTTTTTTCCTGCTTGTTTCTTTTGATTCTTTTTTCTTAATTGCAATGTGGCACTTCTGTACCTAAGCCTCTGCTCTAAAAGGCAGCATTTCTGCTACCCCATCTATCCCGCAGAATACAGGACAGAGAATGCCACTCAGTCACGTCTCACAGCTTTGACTTGTGCTCTGCACATCTTGTCAGTCACAAAGACAACTAATCTTGGCTTAACACTTCAGTCCTGGGTAACTGCCTCATGGATTTGCCATAACTCCACCACCATTTCTGGTTTCTCTATCACAGATTTCCATATTCTCTGCCATTGGCCTAACTAGCCCCCACCACACCATGTCAGTACTCTGCATGGTTTGGTTGCCCCACTGGTTTAGAAGCATTGTAACAGCTTAAAGGATTTACCCAGAGCCAAACACCTCCTGGCAGATACATAAAAGGCAAAGAGAGAGGCCACAGGTCAGAAGGCAGAAGGTGGAGCTGTGCCCCTAAAAAGACCCAAAAAGGTCCTGCAGACCCTCAGGCTGAGAAATGGAAAGCATTCTCCACGGTCTGAGGCAGCCTGAAGCAGCACATGGAATCAGCCAACAAAGATCTACAGAGAACACGAAGCTGAGCAGATCTACAGTCCAACAGCTACTACATATAGAAAAAACAAGAAGCTGTACAACTGTACTGTTTCTGCAAAGTCACGGATTATTCTAAATCCAGAAGCACTCATTGATTTCAGTCCCTGGAGGAACTTAGGGACCTGAACTTCTTCTTCTGGGAAAATGTAAGCACCACTACTTCTACCTTGGGACAACTCTTCCTCCACCATGCAAGTCTGTTGATAGAGGCTATTCTGCCCTGCAGTGTGCTTATCCTGCAGAGCTACCCCCAAAAATGATTCAGCGGCATTTTCAAGATTTGCTTTATCAAAAGTCATGCAATGATAGGTGAAAATCCAACTGAAGAAAGCCAGAACCGGGAAAAAAAAGAAAAAAAAGAAAAAAAAAAAAAAGAAGAAAAGGAAGGAAGGAAAAAAAAAAAAAGAGTTGACTTGGCTAACTTTTGCTCTCCAGTTATCTGGCCCAGGGACAAGAACAGCTCTGCACATTTGGAAACCAGGGAATCAGCTCTGCCGTTTGCTCTCTGGCCAGCTGCAGACAGACACTGGCACTCTGAATTCACCCCCATGCTGTCACAGGCACTTCTGCTTCTCCTGTGTGCCAGCACACCAGCCCTGGCTGCTCCTGCCAGCATCAGCAGTGCCTCAGGTACTTCTGAGAGACATGACGGGATCTGAGCAGAGCGCTGCGCTGAGGCAAAACGAGGTGAAGGTGTGGGTGCCTTTCCACAGACATCTCCTTACCGCTCCGCAGGAAGCACGCGACGCTGCCTTCACTCTGCGCCTCGCTGCCCAGCTCCCCACGGGACCCCTGCCCACCCCTTCCCGTCCCTCAGCGCAGCAGAGCAGTGCTGTGACTCACAGCCACTCTGACCAAGTTTTAAACAAAGGCACCGCCTCTGTGCAAGACCTCTCCCTCTCCCTGCCTCTACCTGGGGTCCTCACCACCCACCCCAGCCCTTCCCTCTCACTGGAAGGGAACAGCTCTTCTGTAGGTGCTGGTACGCATTTCCATCCAGGGAGGGCTGCACATGCTTTTGCTTTTGTTAGCATTACACGATGTCGTGTTTCAGGCAAGAAACTGGAGTATTTGAGCAACCTGAGAAGGGCACAACCTGCTGGATCCAGGAAGAACAGAACCCTGCTGTTCTACAACTCCAAAACAGCCTCAACGCTGACCCAAAGAGCACCATTTTGAGGCCGAGATGACAAAACAGAGGCACGTGCTTAACTGTAGTTTAAGCCCTGGCTGCACAGGAATAGATTCTCATTGATGGAGAGGGAAAGAACTCACAACAGTCAGGAAGAGCAAAACTGCAGCAGAGATGCAGACCAGCAGATACCATCATGGTGTATCAAGGCAATGGCAGTGCTTTCCTCCTCATGGGACAGCTGTCAACTTACTGCAGAGCAGCTGCAAATGCTCAAAACTGAGAACTCCATGAAATACCGGAGTTCTTTCCTAAGAATTTCCTTGTTAAGAAATTCCTTGCACTGTGACAAACAAGTGTAACAGTTCTGGAGAGTACATGCAGTGCTACGCTTCTTGCCTGCACTCACAACTTCAGCTTACCCCACGTCAGCAGTGTTTTGCCTTTTACCAAGGGGAAGCCTAGGAGCTGCCAGCTTCATGGGGCACAACGCATGGCAGGGTTAACTGGGATTCGATAGGGACAAATGCAAAACAGACTTTCGTCACAGCAGACCATATACCATAAAGGTTGCTGCGCTTGCTTGCTTCCCTCTACCTTCTCGTTTTGGGAATTTAAGTCTGCACTTAGGCAAGGGCACTTCCAAGCGGCAGGATGTGTTCCTATGCCAGTGACCCTCCTGCCCCTCGCACTGCTGGTGCTGAGCGCTGCTGCCCTTGTGCTGAAGGTCGCCTGTCACCACGTCTACATGCAGGTTCAGGCACCAGCAAGAAGGGCAAGCAGCCCCGGGGGCCCCAGACTTCCCTCCATTTTCCAAGATGGGAAACCAGAGGCGTCCAACAGCTTCCCCTCCTCACAGCAGGGCACTGGCGCGGGATCGCACACGGCCGTGTTTCGGAATCTGACGCAACCGAGCTCTCCGATGCCTCCTCTCAGCCAGCGGAATAAAGCAGCGGCTCCCGGCCTCGGCAAAAAGCCTGTCCGTGTGCAAGGACCGAGCGCGGCCCTGGGGGTCGGGATGGGAGGCGGAGGGGCGGGAGCGGGCAGCGTTCATCGACGTGTGAATGGAAGCGTTACGGCAGCGCGGCTCCGCGATGCTGTGCGGAGACGCAGAGAAAGGAAAGCGCTTCCGGAGGGAGCGGGAGGAAAGCGGGTCAAAGATGGGCGAAAAACAGAAGCGCGCCCACGCGATTAGCCGGGGTTCGGGGCCGCTCTCACAACCTCACCCCAAACCGAAGCCCCGCACCGCCCTGCCCTGCAAACGGCGGGATCCGCAGCTGCAGACCCGCGCCCCGCACCGCCCCGCACGCGGCCGGAGCCCCGCATCCCTCGGCCGCGCCCCGGCTTTCGCCCGGCAGAAACGAAGGGCGTAAATAAACGGCTTGGCGGCCCTCCTTCGTGCCGCCCGCAGCCCTACCGGAACCGCTCCTGCCCGGCCGTGTCCCAGATCTGCAGCTTGATCCTCTTGCCCGGCTCGATCTCCACCAGCCTGGAGAAGAAATCCACGCCCACCGTGGGATCGGAGATCTGCGCGAAGCGGCCTTCGGTGAAGCGGCGGATGAGGCAGGACTTGCCCACGGTGGAGTCGCCGATGACGATGAGGCGGAACTGGTAGAGCCAGATGGCCTCCATGCCGCCCGCTCAGCGCCCGCCCATGCCCGGCCCGCAGGGGGCAGCGCCAGGCCGGCCCCGGGGCGCCGCTCGGCGCGGGGCCGGCCGCGCTCCGTCCGCCTCAGAGCCGCCTGCGGGTGGCCGCGCCGCCCCCCGTCCTCCCGGGCCGCGGGCGGAGGCCCGGCCGAGCCGCGATGCAATGGCGGCCGCGCTCTACCGCACTGCCGGGAGGAGCCGCCACCCCCGAACCGCCGCCGGAGCCGAGCGGGGCGGGGCGGGGCGGGACCGAGGGAGGCGGGGGGCGCGGGAAGAGCCCGGAGGAGGACGGCGCGGGGCTGGGGCTGCTGGCCGCGAGCCCGGCAAGCCTGTCTGTTCTCAGTGCGCAGGACGTGCGCGCACCGCAATCCGCACGGAGCCCAGCAGGCAGCGGGATGCCCGAGCTTTGGCTTTGGTCGGCAGCCACCTGAGCGGGGCTTGGGTCACGGGAAGAGAAAAGGATCACTGAATTTAATAATAAACAACTTGGCTAAAAAGTGTATGAAGCCACATTTTAAAAGTTTTGTTTTCTTAAGTTTACAAAGAGGCTGCATGAGCTGAAATCAGTGCGCTCACGGTGACAATGACGTTCAGCCGATCCTCACAGCGCGGCTCTGCAGCACCAGCCGTGCAACCAGCCTGCAAACGGGGCCGGACGTCACAGCTCGGGCCTCAGTAACAAACGGCAGGGAAAGTTTTCAATATCCTTTGAAATGCAGCACATTTATTAAAAACCAACAGACTCAAAGATCCTATTTTACAGTACCTCAGGACGGGATAGAAAACTGATGAAGCAATCTGCACAGCCACAGACAAATATTAAACCTATAAATCTGAGTTATCAGAATGTTACCGGTGACTCACAGCCAGCACTGATGTGCAGCACTGAGCTGTGTCATTTGTGATATGCCATGCCCATGAATCTCAGCCCACAACTTTAGTTTCTGAGCCATGCCTCGCTCCTCCCCACCTCCAGCCTCACCATTCCTGTTGCAGGTCTGGGTGCAGCGCTTTCATCCCCTCTAACACACTCACATAGACGGATGCATGCTATGTAACTGGGTTTCCATCATATTAATTAGCAGCAACTGAGAAGGTAGGAGAAAATGGAATCCTGGAGGAGCCTTTGTGCTGGTATCGTTGCAGAAATGGAAAATCTGGTGTCTGAGAGTAACCTGGAGTTGATGCAGAAGCAGGCTTGGTGGTAGGGGACAGGCTAGACCAGGTTCCTGCTGGGTGCCCAGGCTCACTGTAGCCCTGTGTCACAGGCAGAAGCACCAAGAGACAGCTAAACGAGGTTGGATGGCTCAAACCAGATCCTCCCACAGCATCACTCATAGCTCCTTCCTCCATTTCGCTCTTCACTTACACTTCAGCCTTCTTCCAAAACCCCTCCCTCTGCATCTCTTGACTGCCCACCATAGGTTGGAGCTGCCTCCAGGCCATGGCAGCGCTAGAAGGAGCAGAGTGCCTCAGCACTGCACCCACAGTGTGTAATGCTTTAATGTGATGGAAAGGACAGCAATAGTAGCAGGGTGGCATAACCTTAGGCTACAGCAAATGAGAACAAGCCCAAAGGCAGCAGCCACAGATACAGAAACAATGACTAGCAACATGGATGCTTACCTTTGGAATTCCTCTGGGAGGCAGGGATCTCCAGTGAGATCCCCTCACCTCCCCTGCCAACCCTTAAATGAGGTCTGGGAATGGGGTGGATCCTGGCTCCACCCCTTCTGATCACTCAGGTGCACTGCATGGACCTGAGCTCCCCCAGCTTGGCCTTGCCTTCCCACCAGGTGCTCAATCACCATTTCAGGCTATGACAGCATTGCCAGTGCACCATGCAATTTAAGTGACCTTTTGGTTTCCAAGACTACAAAAATGACTGTCTGTGTTCTGCCCCTCACAGTATGGCCCTGCTGGCACCCATTCTGGCACCCATTTCACACATGCCCAAACCCACAGGCAGATGCCCCCTAACCCTTGGGGTTGTGTCACCTGGCCACATGCAGAGACCAGCCCAAGGGAACCATGGAAGTGCATACCACCAAACTGGTCAGACTGGGAGCTTCCTGAAGAGTCATGGCCACGCACTGGGGCGATGGGAGATGAGAAGGGGGCTGGCCCATCACAGATAGCAGCTTGATTAGCTAGTTCCCTGTTAAAAAGCATCCCTGTTAAATTAGGCATGCCTAGGAGGTGTGACACTGAGATATTGCACCACTGGCAGCAACATGTTGCCCTCCTGACCTGCTGGCTGCTGCACATCTCTGTAAATTGAGAGCAAGGGGAAGCACTGAGTGATTTATGTTTATTATTTATATGATGCTCACAGTTAGTCATGGTAGTGCAGGTGAAAGCCAAGGGTACCACATGGTGCTTAGGAACTGACTGCCATGTTGACAGCAAGCACTGGGAGCGTGATTTAGGACTTTGTGACAAAGTGACAGCCCTAACTCCAACAGCAGGGCTGACCACCAGGAGACATGTGGGGAAGCTTCTGTCCCACCCTGGGTTCTGGCTGGGGCTACAAGGTGGCACCTTGCAGAGGTCCCCCAGTGTCACACTGGGATCACATCAGAAGCAGCAGAGCAGGCACAGGCTGAACAGGACCATCACTCAGAAGTAACCAGAGAGGTTACAATCAGTGCTCCAGGGCAGTGTTAGCATTTATTTTGCAACCAGAATGGACAGGGAAGTGAAAATCTGGTACACTCTGAACCCCATGGGTGGGAGTGCACAGAGGATAAGCTTGTCCTTGCACCCCTGCAAGTGGAAGGGCTGCTCTGGTGCCACACAGCACACACATGGGATAGCCTCTGGCCACACCAGCTTGTGCAGAGTGGTGGCTGGGTTCCTGAAGAGATGTAAAATATTTGCAAAACATTTCCCTGTGACAGTAAATTAAAAGACAGCTCAATACCATGGGATGGGTTTCTCCAGCTGCAGCACCAGGTGTCTTATCTCAGATTACAATCACATTAAAAAGGCCATGGGTTGGCTGATTGAAAAACAGGGGCTCCCATCATTATGTCTGCCTGAGTCTGCCTGAATTGAAGAACAGATCCTCCACTGGGAATATTATGTCCCTGTAGCTGTTCAGGTCTTCTTAGGAAGGGAACAGGATCTGCTTAGAGCAAATAGAAGCCATTACAATCAGGATAAATTAGTAATGGTGAGTGGGAGAGAGAGGAGGAGAGAAGAGGTTATTGTGTTTTTTCTTCCTACAGAGTGGGTGTCTGAACTACTTACACTGCCAGAAAGCAGCTCCTAAGCTTCCCCTCTGAGCCCAGCACTTGAGCTTGCAGCTCAAGAGCTGCTTTGGATTGTTTGCTAGCCAGGAGGATGGCATTGTAGGCTGCTAGATGCATGAAATCTGTTTTCTGCTCCTATCAGTAGCGTCTCATGTTTATAGTCTATTGCAGCACAGGCAGGTCTGCAGAGCAAGAAAAAACAAAATATATTTCCATTCACTTTGTTCTATGCCTCTAAACACAAGCCTTTATCAGAAGCTGTAGTTCTTGCTGTAAGCTAATTGTGGGGGTCTTCAGGCTGCAGGCAGTGGGACTGGTTGCATGGTACTATATATTTGGTGCTTCATGTAACACAGAGCACCAAGTAATTTCTAATCCTTAATGCAGCCCTGGAAAGAAACCTGGAAGCTAAGCAGCAGAACTGCTGTCATCCTCAGGTCTTCCTCCTTTCCTCCTAGGACAATCCAACAAAGCAGGGCTGGTTTAGCAGACTTAGGTGCACAGCCCAAAGACAAGTATAATGAGATTTTATAGAATTTTAAAATGCAACCATCTTTCTGCTTAAGCAAGCACCTGCTTAAGTGCCTTACAAGGAAATGAATGCACCGCCACCAGCAGGCTGTTCACAGCAGGACTGCAACCCAGAACACACCAGCACCAACCTGCTGTGACCACCAAACCTTGCAGGCTGGGCCTTTGCTCCCACCGGTGTTTTTCCAAAGCCATTAACAGTGACTTCTCTCCACAGCCCTTCTGGAGGCTGGCGCTCAGTTTTGTGCTGCTCTGAGCTGATGCAGCACCCTCCAAACACTGGCACATTCAGAAGGATGGGAGAAGCTGATAAGCACTCCAAAAGTGGGAACAGGTTCCCTTAAGCCACCCACTTTTGCTTCAACCTCATCACATATGAGCCCTCTCCTGCTCACACAGCAGATCAAGAGCTGGCTCTGCAATACCAAACCACACTCAGAGTGCCCTCGTGGCCCCAGGGACTTCAGCCAGCCCCTCGCTGATGCCCTGTTCCTCACGGCAAAGCTGCAGGTACAAAATGCCTCTACATAGAGCACACTCCCTAGGGAGAAGTGGCTGATCCTCCAGGATGATCCCATGGGAAGGGATCTCTATTCTGGGAGATTTCTACGCATCAGTAATATCTTGTGCAGCAGTGCTGCTGAGTGAGCAGCTCCAGTAACACATACCTTATGGCATCTTTGCAATCCCAAAATCTTCTGACAACCTCTGTGGTTGTGGCAGCGAGGGACTTCTCCCAGGCATCTGTTGGAACACCAAGAGCAGACAGCCATGACACCTGACGGGTGGAAAACAGGCAGCTGAACAAAAAAAAATATTAGCCTATGGAAGCTATACAAGTACAAAATGGCCCAATAATACAAACTACCCAACCAACTTTGTGCTGAATACACACAGTTTCAGTTATCAGGAATGGAAGTGTGATTCTTTATTCAGGTTTTCTATTTGATACATTTTTGAGTCAATTTGACAAGCCTTCAAAAATACAGTAAATCTCATTTAAATAGATGTTACTACATGGGTTTATTCAGGCAGCATAATTTACTCCCTGAATCATCACAGTATTTCTTTTTTTTCCCCTGTCTTGGTGAAGGATAGAGCCGAGCAAATATTGGTAATGGATAATTAACTCAACCACTTGTTTTCCATCTCCTCTAAGACACTCATCTGCTGGATGTTGTTCAAGATTCAGCAGTTATTTTTTTCTTTAGTTAGTTTCCCAATTATTTTTAATAGTTTGATA